TGCGTCCTTTTTGGTCATCTTCGTCTAACTGTGGTATGAGAAAATTTTCGAGCATATCCAGATACACGATACCATTGATGGTTCTCTCATGGAAAAAGAACGGGCCGTACACTTTAACTTTGCTAAGGGCACAAAACACATTCACCTTTGGGCTGTCACGAACGTGTTCCACAACAGCACTAGAAACACGAGGGCGACCTGGAGATTTGTCATGGCGAACAGAACAACCAGTCTCAACAAAATTCTTGTGCCAAGAGTAAATTGTAGGTCTACTGGGAGGATCCTTGCCATACTAGGTGCGAAAATTTCGTTGAACCATTGTCGCAGATTTCGTTTCTTCAAACCACAGCACACAGCGAGCGCGCTCCGCACCTGTGAAAGTAGCCATTTTCAAATGCACTGCCGCTTGCGCTCGCGGTGACGGAATTCGGTACTACAACACAACGTGAGTCAAACGTGATTTGTTTTGCTGCAAAATGACACCTCAACCGATTCTGTAAGCTTTCTGATTAAATTTCTATACACTTTCAAAGTTGTAAAGTCCTTTTTGAATCACCTGGTAGAATGCAGATACAATCCATTTCTAGCAGCAACAACAGTGCAAGAAGGGCTCCAATAGCAATTTCGTTACCTGCGTAGAATATAAGGTAATAAATTTATTCTATTTACAGTCCTATAGGTTTCAGATACTTGACGTGTGTTGTAACTGCCAAATTCACATTCACATTTTTACCACCTCAAGTATATGCAGAGTAATGCATCGAGATGCTGAGTAACAGAATGTACAGGTTTCATATTTTATTCATCTTCACAGACTACAAGATTTGCGATTATTTAATAAATTACAGCAAACCTGTTCTCAGGACTGCCAGGATTCATTTTTCTATGAACTGTATTTTAAGTATGATGGTATCAGATTTTATATACCTAAGTGTATACCGGGTCAAGATTTTGAGGCACATTTACAGAGACCTAAGAACATGCTATAAGTACTGCAATGGAAATTGAACGTTTCGAATAAGCTGCTTGTTCAGTTACTTAAAGAAGTTGGACATAAAATTGTACCTAGCAATGACATACGTTAACTCACTTGTGCGAAGTGACCAAACATGTCCTTAGATCCTTGCATATGCTTAAAATTCTTGACCGAGATACTTGTTCTTAAAAACGTTTGTCTTGTTAAATAGGCAAGTTGCAATTGAACTTCTTACCACACTTTAAATTTATGTTCTTTATGCAGAGATTTCCAGATAGAAACTACATATCTCATTGTGCAGACTCCAGACTGGCCCCAGTCCAATAGAAATTGTTGGTATCTACGAGCAGAAACAAACCAGCTATGCCCAGCCATAAATAGGAATCCAACTTGGCAGACAATGACCGAAGAAGGCATACAACCCTCTCAACCAGCACAAGGAAACCCAGCCAATTCTCGCTACCAGCCGTGATTAGCTCGTCTCCCAAGATCGCCTGTTACAGTCCTGGTTTTAATAACCAATATCCAAAGACAGAAGGGAAATTTTTGTTTATGTTTAGTTAGGTCAGGCCGCTTATGTTAAACTAGATTAGACTAGTGACGTTCATCGCTTGTCAGAGTCGACAAAGAAAACAACCAGCCGATGGTCCAACTGGTCGACTGAACAACCAGTCGATTACAAAGCTGACTAACAGCCCGACCAATTAAACAAGAAACAACCACCATCCGAGGGGCTGACCGACGAAGGAACCGAAAGAACTGTTGTTTGGTTGCTTATTCGTGATTAAGTACGTCTCCTGTTCAGAGAATCGGCAATGGAATGTAGTAAATACATGTTTGTGCGTATGTATGTTCGCAAGCTTATACAAGATGGCGCACGGAATGATACCCGATTCAAATTTCATGTTTTTATGGATTATATGCTCAATATTACCACCGTTCAGTCGTGTAACATTTGAAACCCAAACGGCTACTTCGCGATCACTCGACGGCCCATATCCTTTGTAATTTTACCACATATTTGGACAATCAAAACCCTGTGATGCATTATTGAAGCAGTTTCTTCTGTGTAGAATTTGAGGTTTTCAAGGCGGTGAGTCTGAAGATGGTTTTCTTCTGCTCTGAAACAGTTTGATTCTTGAGGTAACCCCAGAGGAAGAAGTCGCATAGGCTTACGCCCGGGTCAATTATGCCCACTTTCATGGCAGCTGAGTATCGGCAAGGAATCACACGTGGGCAGAAAGTGTGTGTGAAGTCCAAGACAAAGTGTGCTCTGTGTGGTATAGATCCAATCTTGCATGAACCACTGTGCATGTAACGGCTAATCAGGGTGGCACACAAATGACACCCTATTTGTTTTAAATATGTGCCGTAGCCGTTCATATTTCGGAAGTAACAGGACATTGCGCATATAATCTATTAAGGTTAAGTTTCCATGATTTGTTGTTTGTTTGTAGGTACATATGCACTATTACATGAATATTAAACCTTTTATTTAATCTTTCAATCGGGTATCATTTCGTGCGCCATCCTATATGTATGCATACATGTATGTATGTATGTATGTATGTATGTATGTATGTATGTATGTATGTATGTATGTATAAGAAAATAAAAATCTAACTATACAAAACATAATATATAATAGGGATCTGTAAATTTTAATTTCATTTTCAGTAGCTAAATAAACCTTGAATAAATAAATAAATCGTGGTCTACTATAACCACACAAAATCAGTACCATAACTTTGAGACATCTGGTAGCTTATAGGCCTAATCATTAAATGTGTATCGTTTAATACGCCCGTAAAATACCCCAGAAACCAACATCTTAAGAGAAACTCCAACCAAGGACTGTAGGTTATCTAAGCGATATTCTCCTCTTAAAATGCGCCCATAATATCGGTTTCATCCAACCGCAGTAAACTAACATGTTGGTATAGGGTATCCCTAGTTTCCTGGTCCTTCTCAGTTACTTTAAAACAAGTCGAGAATATTCTCTCGCGATCTATCATTCATAACCATCCTGTCATATTTAATTAACGAATACACATACACAAGTAATAAAGAACAGTAATTATGTTATAATCCTCAACAGACTAATACAAACACCTCTCATTAGGTAATCTTTGGGCATACATGCGTTTGTCAAAATCTGTGTCAGGTTTTGTGAACAATAAATAGTTCCAAACATTCTGTCACAAAAAAGAACCAATTCTGTCCACATGTTTTATCAAACTGGAAGGTACTTGCTGCAGAGCTGAAATACTGCTCAACAATAATCACACAATATGATGTCACACACTTATGCTGTTCTCATTTTTCATGGAGTTAAATTAACACAGGTATGCATATCAACACCATGTTCATAAAATCTATGTAGTAGAAGAAACAGCCAGCTTCTTGAGATGTTCCATGAAAACTTGCAAGCTGACATCATCTGTTAAAACAGGACAGCCACTTTCCTGAAATGTTGAAACAAAAGTAGTTACATACTTTGCTTAAGTTAAGAATATCTAATACTAAGAAGGAATATTTAATATGATGTAATCATCCACTTAAAGATATATGGTAGAAGAAAAGCTATCTCACAGAAAAGACTAACATTTATATTCCATTCACCAACAGAGGGAGTTGTTATACAAAATTTTCATTTAATGTGGCTTCATATACACCAAATCTCTACCTTCTCGCGATTATGCTGCACTAATAGAGTATTTTCTACTATAAAAATTCGTGATTTGTCGTCTATCAAAAAATGACGTCATCAAACAATGTTACGTTATATTTGTTTACTCGGCATTGTTGTACCAACACAACAATGCCGAGTAAACAAATGACTTGAGTAAGACACTAAACTAACCCCCCCCCCGAAGGGGGGAGGATTCGTTTAGTTTCTTACACAAGATTTCAAAACGCAACCAACCCCCCCGAATGGGGGGGTTGGTTTAGTTTCTTATTCAAGATTTTAAAACGCAACCAACTCCCCGAGGAGCTCCGAAAGGAGCGCTCCGCTCTAGTATTAGTTAAAATTACCCCACACTAGCCACATTAATCCCTGATGCAATACGTGCAAACTGAAAATAACACTTTTTTCATTAAAGTTGTTTACAGTTATTTATGCTACATATCCCCTGCAACATATGACATTTAAATGGAACCTTGCTGTACAGTCAGTACCTTTTCTTCACTCAACATAATTATACACTAATGAAGCAAAATAATGGTGCCTGAAACAGGCACATAAATACACAAGAAGCAAATGCAATGCCTTATCTGTGAAGTCACAGGATTACATTCTGAGTAACAGAAATAACAAATGAGGAAAAATGGGTAAATTGTGACATTTTATATGACTACATCTCTTAACTGATGTCGAGAGCATGGCTGGTGTCAGAAGGAAAACTCACATAAATAGTGCTGACTTTTTAAAATAAATAGCTAATAAAGATTATTAAAGATTACTGAATATTTTGAAATACACCGATTCATTTATACAAATACTTTTAAGTACTCAAAAATGCGAGCAAGCATGAAAAGTAAACAGCAACACAATATTCACAGCTAAGATGGGGCTGAGAACTACAGATCTACTTGTAACTAAGTCCCAACTGCATCCATGGGGCAAGATGTACAGAATGAATCACCTGCACAAGTGATAAATGCGGACAGGAAAATGAAGAATGAGTACTGATGAGAACAAGGGGAAGATTGTGTCAATACTACATGAGATATAGCAAAACTTATGTACAGGACAAGTTACGCATTCATTTCACTACCCCACTAAAGAAATCAAATGCCAACCCTGTAAGCAAACACAGCAGGCTATATGAAAACTTATGACAGAAAGAAAAGCCTTGTATTGGAGTCATGTGCTGTCTCCAACATAAATCAACATCTATTTCAGTCATTCATTTAAACCACTGCTATCCAAATGGAGTTCATAGCTGCAAAAACATGGAGTATTACACATTAATTTATAAAAGAGCAGCTGACAGTTAAATTGTATCAGTAAGTGAACATCTAGTAGATAATTACATAATAACTGACATCTGTTTCAGATACTTTGAAAAATTTAATGTTTTGTAACTTCATCCCTTATATTTTAACCTGATGACAGCCATATTGGACTGAAACATACAGTTCAACAAACGGAAACTAATGAACAGTGTGTGTGTGAGTGTGTAAAAGTGACTGAGAATAACAATTAAGAATTCATCAGGTAGGTAAAACTCATTAAGTATCATCCATTTCCACTAATGGACATGGTTTAGTTTATCACAATGGTTTATGTTTAAAGGTTAACATTACATAAAAAATTACATATAAATAATTTGGAACATAATGATACTGTAAAGATTATGAATAATTCTTAAAACAAGAATTCTATTACATGCTGTTTCATGCAATGTAAATTTAAGTACAGGTAAGCCTCGATTTGCGGCGATTCAGAATAACGCCGATTTTGAAACCAGTAAGTCAAAAAGTGGAAAAAATATATTTTACTATTATTTGTAACGTTTTACAATGTATCTCGTACTGATTCTTATAATAAATCGTAATTCTTACATCGCTGATTTTCAATAAAAATTATAAATACAGTCATCTCTGCAAATTACGTATGTTTCGTTAACGCGAATTTGCTCCAATGAGATCGATGAATCGGTAAAAGCTGTTTCTGAAATGCAAACTTTTGCACATGCAAGTTTGCTCTTATGCAATTTCATTCCTGGCGCTTTAAACTTTCAAAGGACTAATTTAATCTCTGCTGAGGTACCGGGTTATTTTTAACTACGCGATTTTCTATAGGTCGGCGTCTTACATGAATGCAACTATCGCATAAGAGCAGAGATGACTGCACACATCAATCACATGAAAAACTTGCAGTCAATCGCGGGGACCAAAGAATTGCCGATTGTAAGTGTACAAAATATATTTTTTAAAATCCCATTATTTTATTTACGTTATTTCAGAGCTTTAAATGTAATGCCATTATATTACTCGTCAATGTTTGGGTGCTGGGAACGCATATCAATGACTTCCCATTGATTTACATTATAAAATAGTTTCAATTTACGCCGATTGCCTTTACGCCGGTTCGTCCAGGAACGCATCCCCGGCGTAAATCGAGGGCTACCTGTATGATCAAAATGAAGACGGAATTGACAGATGTTGAAAATGTTATAATATCCAGTATTTTCATTGCATTATCGGCCAACTGGTCCTCGTGATGGCCAAGTACTTAGTTCTCACCAATTTAATTGTGTCAGCAGAAAACATGAAAATATTATTGCAACTTCTGTGCTCAAATTGGAGAACAAGATCTAAATACACAACATGAAATATTTAAAAACTGCCTCCCACCACCAAAAAGTAAGAATATAAAAATAACACTACCGCATTTGGAATCGGCATCGCCTGTTGAGAACAAAAAAAAAAAAAAAATATTAAACTGCTGAAAAACTAGCCATGAATAACACATAACAAATTAAGATCATAATGGTTAAATGTTTCCATTAGACGGCCTATTCACTTGTGAGTGTTCAAAATGGGAACTTCATTAAACATACTTATAGACAAAGGAAAATAGAACAAACATTTGAATGTTAAATTGACTAAAAAGTGTCCCAATAAGTGATACTACTGTAAACAAAGTATTTCAGGAACTTTAAGAAGATACATTTACATCATGTTTTGTGTTCTAAACAGCTTTATTAGCCACAAAAGAAAAAGTTGAGCTGTCTGCTCAAGCCAGGTAACACTAATCTGAAAATGTAATATTTTATAGGTAATAACAATGCTAAGTAAACAGATGACGTTACCTAGGTAACAATAATGCCGAGTAAACAATTGACGTTTCCTAGGTAACAACAATGCCGAGTAAACAGGACTTTCCCTAGGTAACCAGGTTACACTTTTTCGTTTCCCTTTTTCGTTCCACTTTTTCGCCGAATGACCCTTCCTTATAGACGTATTTACGTCAAAAAAACTGTTGAAAAACTAGCCAGGAATAACACATAACAAAATAAGACCACAATGCTTAAATGTTTCCATTAGAGGGTCTACCATAAATTCACTTGTGAGTGTTGGAAATGGGAACTTCATTAAACATACTTATAGATAAAGGGAAATACAACTGACATTTGAATGTTAAATTGGCTAAAAAGTGTCCCATGTATAAGCATTTCAGGAACTTTAAAAAGATAACACATTTACATCATATTTCGCGTTCTATACAGTTTTATTAGCCACAAAAAAGTTGAGCTTTCTGCTCAAACCAGACAATACTAATCTGAACACTCATATAAAGAAGCTGATACAAATAACTGCAAATAAATGGGGGTAGAGGGTGGGAGGGAGAAGAACATAATTATTATTTTGCACGACTGTCAAAAACATTTATCTTTTTTATGAACTTCTTCCCACTTCTCATCCGCAAGCAAAGAAACAAGAAATCTATGAAAAGTGTGGAAAATTGAAAAATCAACCAAAATTAGATTTATTGTCTCAAATAATGCTTTTACCAAATACTAATCTGTGAATATCCCCTACTGGATGAATGAAAAAAATAAAATTGAGTAATGCTATGATAGCAACACACTAAAAATACAAAACCAAAATTATAATACTTACCCTTTCATATTCAAACACGTTCTGATGAGTTTGTGAAGGATTGACTTTTGACAGCAGAAATCGGGCCTGTAAAATGCAAACACAGAATCTATCCTAAGACTAACGTAGTATTCAAATTACATGGTAAACATACTTTACATTCTCTGGGTAAGATTTGCAAGCAGATGTGTGTCTGATAAGAAACTTTATAATTATTCAAGGAATTATTACTCCTGACGTACTTCAAGGAAAACTCGGATATCTCAGCGTTGCATCTGTATAGGTGTTAAACAGTGATATTTTATAATATTTTAAATAGAAAGCTGACTCTTTGTGACTGTGCCTACTGCATTTCTATTCATGTTTATTTATTACCAGTACAAATCTAACACTGATAATACACAACCAAATATACCAGTTATTACATTTTAAGAAAAAATATTTTTCCCTTCTATTCTGTTAGACACATAATAAAGTATTTAAAAAGAGAAAAAAACGCATCTTGATTAAGTCTATACTTTATGTTATGTACCACTTCTTTTGTGCACTGGGCTGTTTTTTTAAAAAACATTATAAACTCTTCTGAGTAGTTCTGAAGATCAAACATCTCATCTCATGCACTTACATACATGCTAAAAAACTTCTGCTGCTGAAACTGTAATACTGACCTGTGAGCTCCCCTGCACTGTATCAATATAGCAAGGCAATGGGAATCGTGTCTGAAGAATTTCTTGTGCATTTTCTATAGGTGCCTGGAGCAGCTTCACGAAGTTCTCACATTCTGGTATATCTTGGTAATATGAAGATCGCCACTGAGCTATGGTCTGAGGAAGTTAAAATTAATATAAAATTCTTAACTGTTCTGTCATTAGAGGAAAATAAATTTCTGAGTAGTTGCTGGGTTTGATGGCAACATAAGAATTGTTACAGGAACCTATAAATATAATTCATAACAATGACTTGAGTGACATCTATACAACTAATTAACAAATAAATCTGTTTCTACAGTAGGGATAGGTTATACTGATTTAAGCAACAATTACCTGTTTTCATCCAGATGCATTTCATGATCCAATTATTATTCATCTAATATGGCTATATTAAGAAATAAATTTCTTCAAAGTAATTGTTAATTTTCTGTAATTGGTTTACTAGAAAACTTCATATTTGGTTCCAGTCAGAGGAATTTTTTGGTCTAAGTGTAATTCAGATTCCTTTATTATTATATGTTACTTCTGGCAGTGCCAAAATTGAGCAAACGTGAGAAAATCATACAAACAACAGTATTTGGGGATTCAACAAGCTGATGCAATACTGCCAAGCTATTGGTTTCCTTGAGTGCTGACCTTGGGGTCTCTATGACACTCTATGATATTTGCCATATTGCTGGTAAAATTAGTTACTTTAATAACACTTTATTATACTTGATAGGTAAGCATGTTTGAAACATTCCACTACAGCAGTGGATTTGATTCCTTACAGCATACATATTACCGTATTATCCCTTCGCATCCAGCATATACATTTTAAAACTGTAAATAACCCTACCTTTCCATGGAAGATGAGTATCAGAAAGAATGTGTCCATAAAGAGAATACGGTCAGGCTGTATACTGCTAGTGTCCAAAAGTACAGGCTCGGGTGGCTTATTTAAGCTGTAGCTGTATAGTATTGGTTGGATCATAGGGAGAGACTGGGTCACATCCTCTCTCATTAACATAAGTCTGTAAAAATACTTCAAATTAATTCCTTAAACAATGAAAGCTACATGTAATGACTTACTTTTAAAAATTACATGTCCCTAATCTAAATAAATAGGTAACAAACAAACAAAAAATTAAATCTCGTAATATAATACAAGCCCTCAATTTGATCGCATTTGATCATATGTCATGTGAGTTCCTACAAGAGCCTTAACCTTCAGATTAGAATCGTGACAATGGATCACCTGTAGGAGCCCATGTGATTATCGATCACACACTCTTCTCCACTGCCTCATTTCAGCCAAAAGATGTTCAGTAGTTCATACACTCTTGGTATGAATGTGCATTGGCATTACATTCTTCAAAGTATCGTTGCACCAGTTCATCCTCATTAAATTACAGCATGAATGGTTCAAGAATTGAAACAATGACTGATGTTATCGCAATATCAAAAGAGACCGTTCCACAATTGTGCCTTCCAGAAACTATGCTCCAGACACTGTACTGTTTTATAACTGAACAAAGTTGCTTAACCATTACCAGATTTCTTTACAGCCCAGGAATTATTATTTTGAGAACCCACACAACATGACAAATGAAATCAAATTATGTCAGTTCTAAATATAGGTCTCCAGTATGAGGAACAGTCAGATGACTTTGAAACCAAACACAATATTCCACGCACTTCCTAAAATCTAGAACAATAAATTGGTAAACCATTTTTACCTTGCATAGCAAAGCCTCACAATGAAGAACTGTTCTACAAGACTACAAATATTTGTTTATGCACAACTGTTTTAAAGTTTCATTAAGAATGAGAAGAACATTCTTCGTATCTTTTGCCACTGAATGAGTGTTCCATTTCATCCACATCACATACTATTGATACATAATGCACAAACTCTTCTGCTATGAATACAATGAATAAAAATGTAAAAGTGAAGTCAACAACCAATCTAGTTGAACATTCTGTTTTCCTTACCTGTAGTAGGATGTTTCATCAGGGCTATTATTGAAAACTTGGAGAAAATGTGACCGCCGTAGGTGAAACATAAATTGTGGATAAAGAGTAAAATTCTCTGGTAGCCAGAAGCTGTTTGGTTCATCTTTTGCATATTGGCCAAACTTCTTACACTATGGAAAACAAAATCAATTTATGAATTACATTTATATATCATTTAAATATATATATATATACACACACATACATACATATAATTTATTGTATTCCTGAAATTATATAACACAGACAACTTTCCTCAACATTTTACTTACAAGTGTGATGAGCGTGCGATCTACCCATTTTAACACATTTGGATCAGCACTTGTCTCTGCTATATACACAACCATCCTGGCCATTAACACAGCTGCAGCTTCTTGGTCGAATCCAGCGCTTATATGATGTAAATTGGTTGAAGCATCTTCCCACCTTGAGAACAAATGAGCTCACAACGTACTGAATTGTACAGACAAGAAACAGTTTCCCCGTATAGCACAATGTTATTTATACCACCATTTTCACCTCAGAATTTCAAATTTTGATTGATTCCCTACAGTATGACTACGCATTGTTGGTGAAGACTAGTGGGTAGCGATTTGACTGTACGAGTTTCAGTAATCTGAGGAAAACAGTGTACTGATCCAACAACATTATCAGTAGACACAGAAATTTTTAAGGAAACATATGAGTAACTTGCATGAACCTTGTGTCCACATTAACATTATAGATTTTTAGTTATACCTGGCACCATTACAAACCAACCAACCAACAATTCTAAACCATAAAAGTATTTGCCTTAGAAACTATGAAGAAGAGTTTGTAAATGGACAGTAAGACAAGAATCTCTACTATTCTGTACACAAAGCCAATATTTACACATACAAAAAGCAGAAGAGGAAAAATAAAATTCACAGTTAAGAATGCAAAGAGCAATATTAAAGTTGCACATTGCTTACTTTCTAGATATCGTTGTGACTCGTATGCGGCTCTGTCCACTGGAATGCTGATACTGTGTGATCATTTGGATATAGCCTTTACCTCCTTGAGGTATCGGTGCAGAATGCTGAACATGAAGAAGTAAAACGTATAATTATAAAGGCATGTTAAAAGAAACCCTTTGACAATTTTCAGATTCACTTGACGTATACTGTAACATTATTTGCTTTATGACAACCTTTCTGGTTACATGATTCAATCTCAGTAGGTCATCTTCTACATTTTCTCTGAATTAGCGCAAAGCTCCTTTAGTCTATCAATTTCTGTTGATATTTAATACTTCGTTTTTCAGTGTTTCTTTCTCTTCTGTTAAATAGGTCTGATGTTTTAGTTCTTTACGTCGCTGTTCAGAGGCCAACTGTTATTGGTCACTCAACTTTCTACGTCCAGCCCAAAACATGTAAATCGATCATAAAGTCAGTTTTCGTAATCGTAATATATCTAATGAGTATTATAACTTGAATGGGTAGTATTATTAGTATCAGTTTACATTCTTGTTGTTGGTACTTCAAATAGCTGATAACGTCTTCTTTCACTTTTCTTCATTCCTTAAATAGGTCTGAAGCATCATTTGCTCACCAACACAACAACGCCGAGTAAACAAATGGCTACAAATTGGTTGGTGACGACGACAAATCACAAATTTTTATAATATAAAAGAATACAGTGTTTAGGACACAATTCATTATACTACTGGTCAATGCTACATTCCCTTGTGAAGTCAATGATATTATATTCAATTTTATGGGTGCTGTGCAGTATTCTTGATGCAGGCAATACTGTATCATACGTGGGAATTGGCAATGAGACATAAAACATAATTCTAAAATATGAAAGTTACAAATAAACATTAGTAACTTAAAAGTTCATAATTCATTTTTGATATTCCTATTAACCGTACATTTTACTGTTGGCTTATACTTATTTCATAATACATTTAAAAAATGGTGTTCAGTTGTTTTTGTTGTTGGAGATGGGGCAAGTGTGTACACAATTTGTCATATATCTGATAACACACAACCATGTTCCAGGGTTTAGCATGTGTAATAGCGCCAATGGCAGTAGCTTTTCTGTGGATACAAAACTTGAATGTGTTTTGATTTCTGTACATGTTTTACCAAATAAACTTGTTTGGATCTTATTTTCCTTTTGACTGTAAACATAATATAGAATGTATGTTTTATGACTGATATGCTCAAGTACTGAGTGTAAAGTCTGCATATAATTTTACCATAAGACTGTCAATCAACAGTGAGATGAACTGTCCTAGACACTATTATTATAAATAAATAAATAAAATAAAAGAGGTGCCCAAAGATGACAGTTTTGAAATGGCCAGAAAGGCTATTTATCAAACAAATAAGGCAAGCATGTGAACTGTTTGAAATGATACTGATAAATGTACTGTGTGTGTGCATGTGGGGTTAAAATATGGATTACAGTTATTAATTTTACACTTATGATACCAATATAGGATGATAAGATAATGTTACATGTGTTCCTTACTTTTTACACTTTTACTTATATACAGACAGTAGTATCTAATGACATGTGAACATTTTATAATCACAATTACCTGATTCACAACTTCAAAGAAAAGTGCACATGTTGAATTTGGATTAAATGTACAGAACTTCCACCGGCAAGTATTTCCCATTCCTATTTCTGTGTCTGATACACATGGTCCTTTCACATTAAGGGACACACATGAACCAATGGCTCCTGACACTGAAATTACAGAAAAAAAATTAACCTAATACGTTGCTCTGCCACACTTTGAAATTTAGTTTCTTCTTAAATTCAATATACAACCACAGTACAGTGGAAGTTTCTGATAACTACTGATCTCATAATCACAATTAAAGCATTTTTTTATACATAATCCTTTGACATGCAGATTTTAGTTTAGCATAACCATTGGTTACATATTTTATTCAGCATTATAATTATTCCAGAAATTCACTCATTTGGAGTTATTCTTCCTTCCCCCCCAATGTACCTTTCAATTCTCTTGATGTCTTCACTTCTAGGGTCCCATTAAAAGCCATTTTGAGTTCACCTTTCTGGTCTCTAGAAAATACTCTCTGAAATGTTTGTTTAAATAGTGATGAGTTGAAGCAATCACCCATAACCATGTGGCCACTGAAAAAATGAAATGACTACTAATGCAATGTTTTACACTAAAGTACATGATAAATATGACATCATTACCTAGAAATACTTTGGTGTAGTTAAATAACCTGAAAGTTTCACTGCTACAGAATTACACACATTTATCTTATGAACAAAATTCACATTGTGAAAAGAAGTTTCATGTACATAATCATTTTGAATATAACAAAAGAAGAAAACAAGATACAGTTCATAATCAACATTTTTTCTTTAAAGATTTTAAACTTTCTAAATGAACTGTTAATATGATTGCATGTCAGCTTCTGGCAGAACTATTTGATCATTACATACATTTAATTCCATGCTACTATCTGGCAGTGATTACATGCTGCAACCACAGACATTAAAAAAATTATGTAAACCCCATGCATCAACTACAAGGATCAGTATTACGACAGTAAAGTATTTTGGAACTCACCCTGTAGAGTAACAGCACTGCTTCATTTCCAACAGACCTGTTTGGTCCAGAGCACATGAATAAATATCTATAGCGTGACCATTTATTGCCGCACGCATGGCCAGAGACTCATAATGTTTTATGGCCTTCTTCATGTACGTCGCATTATCTCCATGGATGTCATGATGTGACCTGATTGGTTGGCGAAGATCATCATTCACCACTTGGCCAGGTCCTTGAGAGCAAGGCCCTGCTACAAATAACATGATCCTTGCTCCTGTATTTGGGCATGTGCACTGCAAAGAACAAACAGTTATCCAGAGGAATGAACCAAGAGAGTTTCTTGCATGTCAATATCACATATATGCTACAAAATGTGTTTACCCTCCAACTCAAATAGTGCTGTACTACCTTTTTTGAAGTCTGAAGCCAATGTGAACCTCTGTGGCCAATTTTACACAATGTATGAGTTTATTAAACTTTTACAGCTGCTAATTAAATCACAACTGTGTTTAATATACCAGCAGCTTACAATATATGATCTGGAAGAATTCTAAAGGTTAAAGAGAATTTATTAATATTTTCTAAAATTTAGAATTTAATTTTTGTTAAAATTATTTCAAAATAAGTTTCAAAGTAATTAAATTTCCATTTCTTAAACTGAAATTTTAATAAAATTAATTAACAAACATACAATTATTTAGCAAATTGGAAGGAAATAAAAATGTAATTACTCAGATATCCACTATACATACCACATAGCATTTTGTCCTGGCACTATTAAACTGGTCCAAAGAAATTTGAAAGCAGAGCACAAACAATAAACAAACGTTATTAAATTTAATTATCACAAACGGTGTCTTAAAGTCTGATTCAAATAATTATAGCAAAACCTATGAGAATAACCATTACACCACAAAGAATTTTATCAAAGTGAAAGACCAAAAAGTGTATCTCATCAAAATTATCAGAAAGCTACGAGAATCTAAAACCTCTACTTCAATGACCTTTAATAACAGCATTCTTCAGCCATGCAATGAAAAATGTTGCTGGCTTGTTACACTATCTAACTGTATACCATAGGTATAAACAGAACCAGGAAGAAGATACAAAAAATTGTTAATATGCGATGTAATCTTTTCTAATTTAGAATTAGTCCTGAAACAACAGATTCTTTAAGGCATTTGGCGGGGCTCAATGGAGAGGGGATCAGCACAATGCAAGGCCTCTACCTACACAGAACAACACAACACAGAGGAAGATGGATATAAATCCATGCACTAAGTGATTCAAACTCGCAAACAAGCTGAAATCATTTAGGACCATATGTTCCAAAGATCACAAAGCCAATATAACTGAAACTTCAAAGTTATAAACTCACATGTAAGAAAATACAAATCTGCTACAAGACTGTTCATGTAGGTATCCATCCAGTCTGTCACAACTACGTTGGACAATGACTATTTTATAAGATTTTTTTTATATTCATGGTGCTTCATGAACTAAGTTATACATTTCTGCCATGCTACAAAAAAGTATTTAACACAAATCTAAAAGAATTTTAAGTAGTTACAGCAACGTTACTGAGATGCACTAGAGATCCAGTAAAAGCCTTTGGTGGCGGGTTTATATCTCAACTGTTGCCACTAACAGCGTAACAGCTCCAGAGAGCCAAAGCCGACTAGCTTGACTGCTGGCCTCCCTTTCATATGCCTAAGCAGAGATGAACGATCACCCAACCAGATATAGGTTGACGTGTGGTCAGCACGACGACCCACCAGCCATTACTAATTTTCCTGACCAGATTACGCTACTCATTGTAGCTCCCCAATTTCCTCACAATGCTGGGTTGGCACCGGTCCCATACACTGGTCGAAAGCTCATGAGAAAATTTCTTTTCCCCCGAGATTTGAACCAGCGCGCATTCCGTATCGCCGGTCCGAAGCATGGTGCCTCAGACCGTGCTAATATTCCCCAAATAAGGGACAATGTCCAACATAACTGTGATGCACAGAATCAGCCATTGCCACAAATATTTAGATAACTGTAACCATTGTAAGACATAATAAACTCAAATGTCTTGACATTCTTTGATGAGTCTTATCAATACAAAATAAAAGCAGCCTGACAAAAGAAAGCAATGATTTACCATGACAGTAGTGATTTCAGAAACAGGAGTCAAACCAAGAGAAACCTACAAAGAATAAATTAAAGTGAAGAAAATATTTATATACAATCAAAAGAGAAATGTGGCAATATAAACACCTCATGACTAGACCACCTCAATGTAATTAATATTACTTGCCTCCAGTAATCCAACAGCAATGGACAGAGCAACACCTGTAGATCGGAGTGACCGTTTATCTTGGGCCACTGGCCAAGGATCACGCTGTAGCTCTCCAAGTAAATCAGTAAGGCTCATGTCACATTCGTAAACTGGCTGCAGAAACCTGATAACAAATATCTAACATATACAAAAGACAAATCTGCTTACATTATCAGTTTTCACATGCCACGATTAATTATGTTTGTCTTCACTTGAATCATATCTTTGTGATATACGTCCTTTCTTGCTTGTAGATATGTGGCTACGTAACACTGTAAGCATATATAATGAGCATGATATACCTGTTAGCTGGTGGTAACACCTGTCCTCCAGGACTTCGATTTTGCTGCTGCTGAGGTGCACTGAATTTATAGATTCTTAGCATATCCTGAATCTGCTTTGCTGTGTAATCTTTAGTGCCCCTAAAAGCATAGCTTTTTGAAATTCCTTTGCAGCCCAGCTCATGCAAGTATACTATTTTTCCAAATGTGATGAGACCAATAAGAGCATTAGGAGGAAGTAAACTAAGAGACATTTGAAGAGTATCTTTCAGTGCACTTAAATCTTCATCATCAATACATGTGTCCACCACTAGGAGGAAAATGAGTGGTAAATGTTGTGCATGCTGAAAAATTGAAAATTAACATTAATCAAAACATGTAATTTAAAAAAGAGATAACATAACAGCATTATCATTAACATCACTGTTTGAGCCATCTGACCATTTCAAACTCCATTATTTTTAAAACCAGCTTAACTCTCTCAATAACATGCGCCATACTAACATGGACATTACCACAGACAAAGAAGTTGGTGGGGGCCTGTCTTTAGTAATATAACATTAACTGACAAGCAGCATGGAGAGCCATGTAAAGACTTGAAGGTGGGAGTCTGTTTTCAAATGGTAATCATTCTTTTTTATGTTGGCAAACGAAAAGAAGAATATTATTCACAAAAGTCAACAACTATTACTAATTGTACACACGACAGGCTTTCATACAGACTTTTGTGGGGAAGATACATTACATTTTCTGTAATTTCTGACACTTATTTATGTTCATTTGTTCATAAATGACCTTTTGAGGCATATAATAAAGTGTAGTATGGAAGATATCAGATTAGTTCTAGAACAAGTAAATATATAGCCTATTCTGTGCAAAATCTATGACAGCATTTGACAAAGGATTTTAACTTGCATTATGAAACTAAATATTTGTAGTCTGCAGGAATTATGGAGCATATTTTAAGCACTATCATACTTGACTGGAGCAACTTAAAAAAATAAAATAAAATAAAACTCCTCAGAGCAGTGAAGATTTGAGACCTTCACACCATGATTATTCACAAACATTTTATCTGAATCAGATCACTCTTAGTTCAACCTTTATGTAACCAAATACACGTGGCTTTAGCAACACTGTTCAACTATATTCCACGAAAGAAAAATGGTGCCATGACAGTACTTACAGTGTTGACATATTCAATGGTAGAAAACTTTGGAATGAGTTCGGTTGGTCGATACTGTTCTGATATTGCAGCATACTGTGGTGGAAACTGAAATACGACAATACCTCAAATTATCAAATATCCTTACTCAATAAAAACTGCTATTTACAAGCGAATTTTCTGCAAATATTCAGATTTCCTGTCACCTAAGGGTTCATTAACAATTCACTCACACTGAAAACTCAATGATATTGATATTTTGGGATAAGCATGCCTGCACATATAGAAAACCCATTTTTTACTGTGTTTTAGAAGCATATTACTTCCTTCCTTACTGAACATGGTCAACAGAGTAACAACTAAGTGAACATTTGAATATTATGGAATATGTGTACAATGCCTTTCTGTTTTAATGACAGAAAACTCATTAAATAATAAATCAGTGTCTACTCACAGGATTCCTTTGTAAGCAAAAATTGCACACCCAGAATTTAGCATGATAGTCCACCCCACACAAAGGGTTGAGAATTGCTCTACATGTCCTCTGCCTGCACAACACTGGGTCATTTTGAATTGGAGATAAATCTGAAATATAGTTACACCATCACTTCAACGACCGAAGTTACATATATCACATTTCTTAGGTTATGTATTCTTTTTTTACTATAAAAATTCGTGATTTATCGTCTATCAAAAAATGACGTCATCAAACAATGTTACGCTATATTTGTTTACTCGGCATTGTTGTACGAACACAACAATGCCGAATAAACAAATGACTCGACAAATGACTTGAGTAAGACACTAAACTAACCCCCCCCCCCCCCCC